TTAAGAAAACTAATGCAAGTAACATCGTGAATAGCATGAAATGCATGAATCATATTGGCCTAATATATAACAGGAAGTTTGGGGTATTACAACATGTAATGCTATGATGTGATGCATTGTAGAGAGAGAGAAAGAGAGAGCGAAAAGCCACTACATCGGGAATGGTAGCTTCTGGCCTTGAACCACCCGTAGTGAAATACTATCGGACTTACACAGCTAAGTGGTGAACGTGTTATCTTGAACCATTCAGCCTTTAGTTAAGAGAAGACAACAATACTCACACAGATGTCTTCCCTATTCCGTACTTATTTCTCATGACTTGGTTCATTTTGGCCTTGAACCCATCTCAGTTTCATAAGTGTTTAAAGAATTCAAGTCTCCAATAATTCTTATTGAAGCAGCTCCACTTCACACTTACATAGGTGACCTCCTATTAAGAGTATTTTGCTCTACTCCACTTGACTTTAATCAAGATATAGAAATCATTAAAAGATTAACTTAACCTTTAACCATTTTGCTGAAAGCACTTTCGTATCTTAATGATTTAGGAAATTTAATTTCTTAAGTGTTTCATAGAATCCTCACAACTTAGTTGTTCCTTTGAACCAAAATCTTGGGATCTCCAGTCAATAAGGTAGTATTATCATTGCAAAGACTCTTACATAATAGACTTTAATCCCATTCCTTTCGATAGGCAACTTACTTGATCTCTAAGCAAACTTTTCATAAGTGCATCTACAACGTTCTCCTTTGATTTCACATAATCTATAGAGATAATGCCATTTGGGATCAACTATTTAATGGTGTTATGTCTATAATGTCTATGTCTAGACTTACCATTGTACGTGCTACTTCTTGCCCTTGCAATTGTCGATTGACTATCACAATTTATACTAATTGGAAGTACTGGCGTAGGCCAACATGGAATGTCTTTTAGGCAATTACGAAGCCATTCTACTTCTTCTCCAACTTTATCCAAAGTAATAAACTTTGATTCTATAGTTGATTGAGCTATACACATTTGCTTTGTCGATTTCCATGGGACAGCAGCTCCAGCTAGGGTAAACACATATTCGTTAGTGGACTTGGAATCTTTCATATCGAATATCCAATTCGCATCATAATATCCTTCCAGTACCGCATGATATTTCGTGAAGTGTAATATGAGGTTTAAGGTATGTTTCAAATACCTAAGTACCCTTATCAAAGCCTTCCAATGATCATGGCTTGAATTATTCGTGAATTTACTAAGTTTATTCACCGCAAAGGAAATGTCCAATCGAGTACAATTCGTAATGTACATTAGATTGCCTATCACTTGTGAATACCTTAATTGTGATATGCATTCTCCCTCATTTTTGACTAAGTGCAAACTTGGGCAGTAGGGATTTGTGAAGGACTTTCCTCAAATACTTTGTATTTTTCTTAAGTACTTTCTCAATGTAATGTGATTGGGAAAGTGCAAATCCTTCCGACGTTTAATGATTTTAATTCCTAAAATCACATTTGCTATACCCATGTTTTTCATATCAAAGTGCTTTGTTAACATTCTCTTGGTGTTGAGCAGTACTTCGTGACTATTGCTTAGTATCAACATATCGTCTACATAAAGACATATTATTTCATAGACATTTGGTATATTTTTCACGTATACACACTTGTTACATTCATTTATTTTGAATCCGTTTGTCTACATCATTTTGTTAAACTTTTGGTGCTATTGTTACGAAAGTTGTTTCAATCCATATAAGGGCTTAACGAGTTTACAAATTTGTCCTCTTGGTTAGGAGAAATGAACCCTTCAGGTTGCTCCATGTATATTTTCTCTTCTAACTCACCATCTGGGAATTCCATTTTAACATCCATTTGATGAATATCAAGGTTCTGTATTGCCGCAATTGCAATTAGTAACCTTGTAGAAGTGATTTTAGTTATGGGTGATGATAAGAGTGTAAAATATGATATTTTCTCCTCTTAATTTTTGCGTTCATATGATTATTTAACGTCAAAATGCATTCATTACTCTTATGTTTTGATATATGTCGCAATTTGATGGAAAATGTTGAAATTTGGAAGAAATGTGTAAAAATGGGCAAAGTGGAAGAAAGTGAAAGTTCAGGATCAAGTTGCAAATAATCCATAGATGAAACGGGTGATGGAATGATGATTCAAGAATGCTAAGGGTCAATTGGGTGCAATTAGAAGTCAAAGGAAGTGAAATATGATCATAACATCTTCACAAATCAATTCCCAATCGAAAAAGTTACGCATCCATTTTCAGTCTCATATTAGGATCCCTTTTTGATATAGAAGATGATCGAATTGGAAGTTGATTTTTGAAACAAAGTTGTAGTCATTTGTGTTATCTTTCCAACGCAACTTGAATCACCTCAATTGAACATCAAAACAGAAAGTTATGGTCAAAATATTGGAAGCTATCCGACGGAGGAAATGGTGACAACCATGCGGTCGCATGGCTGCCTTTCGAGAACTTTTGGGGCTATTTTGGTTGAACCATGCGGTCGTATGGCTTATAACCATGCGGCTGTATGGGTATTTTTTGAGGGTGAAATCCTAGATTCCTATTTTGACGCGGACACTTATGAAAACTTGTTTGACACACGATTTTAAGCCCTAATCTCAATCCAAAATGCCATTCTTCCTCTCCACATCAATTTTCTCTCGTCATGGGTGAAGAGACTCCATGGAAAGCTAGAAATCCTTGGTGAAGCAAGGGATAAACTGGATTGGTATCGATTATTTCAACATTTCTCATGCTTGTAATATGATTTTCATTGCTAAACAATTCTAGATTTGGATTTCTTGTTCTTATAAATATGTTTTGAGATTGATTTGATATATATTAGATTTTTATGGATTTAATCATGTTCTTTCCGTCGAATAATTGAAGTATGTATTGAATTTCAATTTCAAGCATTATTGTGAGATTGATTTAACTTTTACTATATTTGCATAGATTTAATCATATTTTATCTATCGTGAAATTGACATAATTGTTAAATTTCAATTTCAATTATCTATTGGTGTGATTCTCTACAATTTTATGCTTATGTATACGGTGGATTTAGAATCTGATTTCAATAGATTGAAGTGGATATATATTGTAAAAAAATCCATATTTTAGAATTACTGTAAAATAAAATTGTGCCTTAATGTTATATTCCCCAATTAAAGTTTCATAAAAAAATCTTTAATTGAGTACATGAATGTACGATTGACGTTGAATGATCCTAACAATCGAGGAAATTTCGACGCTTCACTATTTCATACTTTGATTCAAATCCCGTAAATTCACATATTAACATTTGAACACATTTCAAATTGATATATTATTTGTTACACAACGCATGATGAAAATCCTAGTTTGTTGGATCATTTAATTAATTTTCCATCTCCTTGTGGATACGACACCTCAAAGCTATACTATAATCACCGTGTTACACTTTGGGCATAATCAAATTTTGGCGCCGTTTTCGGGAAGACTGTGCAAATACTTGAAGGATTCTCGAGCAAAAATGTGACTTCGCTCTTTTTCTTTACATTCTTTTAGTTAGTTTAGTTTATTTTCTTAATTATTTTGTTATTTCTCATTTAGTTTCATTTTTTGTGTTTTATGAACAGGTTTCAAGACGAGCAAGGGCGATTCATTGCAAGGCCTCAACTAGTGTTTGAATCGCTTTCTAACCTTTTTTTGATACTGAATCTGTTGGCACACACATTATATCACATAGCACCATGACTAATAGCGAACTGAAGAGACACCAACTAGGACTTTGCAAGATTATCTCCACCCACACGCACATCTACACTTCCACCTAATATGTCACGTATGGACCTTAAACCGGGAATGATCCAACTTTTTCCCACCTTTCATTGTCTTGAAAATGAAAACACAAACGTGCATATTAGGGAATTTGAAGAGGTGGTTGCGAATTTTCATAATCAACGTGATACAATGGATGTAGTGAGGCTTAAAGTTTTCCCGTTATCTCTTAAAGAAAGAGCAAAAAGCTGTCTGTATTCATTGTAACCACGTTCAATTGAGACTTGGGCTGAAATGACCCAAGTATTCTTTGGCAAATACTTTCCCCATTTTAAAAAAAACAAATTTCTTCTTTTATCCAAAAAGACAACAAAACTTTTTATCAAGCATGGGAAAGATAGAAAGAATTGCAAACCCTTTGCCCTCACCACGGTTATAAAAGTTGGCATGTTGTGAGTTACGTTTATGTGGGATTATTACTTTGAGAGCGCCAATTTGTAGAAATGATGGGTAATGGTGAATTTCTAGAAAAAGATCCAGATGAGGCTATAGAGTACTTGGATGACTTAGTTGAGAAAGCCCATACTTGGATTGGACCTAGTGCCACTGAGAGTACAATAGGTCACGACCCACTGGAAACACCACTAGCACAGGCATTTATCATCATAGGGAGGCGGATGACCTTAGAGCCAAGGTAAATACGCTCAGTATAGAACTTAAAATCTTACGTGCTAAGGACTCAAAGCCTACACAAAATGCATCCCATGTTGAATCTTTAGGGCTATGTTTTGTTTGTGGTGGAACTGATCATCCAGCTCAAGAGTGCGCTACCTATGCTGAGATGAGGGGAGTTTATGAGGAACACTGCGATGCCTTAAGCACATACCAAAAGCCTTATTCTCTCTTTTCTGAAACATACAATCTTGGATGGTGGAATCAACCCAATCTCAACTGGAAATCTGAAGGCCAACCAAATAAAGCTCACACTGCATCTCCATATTAGCCCAGGTCCTCTAGAAACTCTTTAGAAAACACTCTACATGCATTTATAAAGGCACAGAGTAAAACTAACCAAAAGTTTGAGACTATGATCACCCAAATTGTTGAACAAAACAAGAAAATAAAATCTTATATATCCAAACTAACTAATACCTTAACTGTAGGAGAGCATGAAAAATTCCCAGCGCAAACTCAACCGAACTGAAGGGGGCAACACATGGCACAAACTTCAGGATCAAGAGAGACCAACTTGAAGAAAGTGAATGCCATAACCATTAGATCTGGAAAAGTCATCGAAACAACCCTTGAACCAGGGAAAAGTGAGAAGGATCCCAGTAGCATAGAAGAGAGCACCCCTAGTGAGGAGGTAGTGAAAAATCCATCTAGGGTGCCCTTTCCTCAAGCCCTCAATTCGATCTTGAAATCTGCTAGTCAACACAGTGAAATCCTAGAGCACCTCAAGCAAGTAAAAGTCAATCTATCTCTCTTGCACGTGATTTCCCAGGTCCCCACAGATGCTAAAATCTTTAAGGACTTGTGTACTGTAAAAATGAAGCACCACGTCAAGAAAATCACCTTCTTGACTGAACATGTGAGTGCCATAATTGAACAAAAAGTCCCACTAAGTATAAGAACCCTGGTTGTCCTACTGTTTCTTATATCATAGGGAACCATGAGATTTCACAAGCTCTCCTTGACTTAGGGGCTAGTGTTAACATCATGCCTTACGCCACATACTCGACGTTAGGTCTAGGTGAGATCAAACCTACTGCAGTGGTCCTACAATTGTCTGATCAGTCCATTATTAGACCAAGGGAGGTAGTTGATGATGTGTCAGTACAGATTGACAAATTTTCCAACCCTATGGATTTTTTAATTTTGGATGTGAAAGTAGATGTGAATGTTAACTCCAAGATTCCCATTATTCTTGGTAAACCTTTTCTCACTACAGCTAACGCTCTTATCAACATGACCTTAGATGACCTTACTAACAATTGCAGGAATGGTTTGATGGAGCTATCTTTTGGGAACATAACTTTAGACGTCAACATCTTTTACATCATGAAACAGCCTAAGGAAGATGATGAGTGTCATCAAACATACATGATTGATGCACTCATTGAGGAGGAAGCACATGCGCTTATTGACCCTGACCATTTACATTCTTTCCTTTTAAATTATTTATGATGCTTTTGATGATTTTCAGGATTATAGGACATCATTGGTGACTATTTCTAATGAGTTTGGTGCAATGCGCCGAATATTGACAACACCCTAGCTGGATGCGGGCTGAAAAAGGTAATATTAGGTCGAGCCAACGACAATAAACAAAGGCGCTACTTGGGAGGCAACCTAAGGGGAGTTCGTTCCCTTTTTTTTTTTTTTTCATTTATACATTTTCTCTAGGTTTAGTTCATACATTATTCATTGCATTCATTTTATTTTCATTTTCTGCATCACCCTTTCCATTGGAGACTTTCAGGCTTACTATACTTCAACTCATGTGATTCACTTCAGCACTCAGGTGACATTTTTCCTTACCTTTATTTGGCAGACATGTTTTTGCATTGAGGACAATGCAATATTTAGTTGGGGATGATGGTACTAAAAAATAATACCTGAAAGATCTCGAACTTGATGATCGAACTTTGAGCTTGGATGAACACAAACGATATTCGAATACCTGAAACAAAGGCAACGAGGTGTGTGCTTGTCGCCCCTTCGATGCTTAAGTCAGATATGAAATTTAGTACGTGAGACTATAAATAAGAGATAATGAAAAACGTACCTCAAGAATGAACACAGGTTATGTATAATAGGTGCTGAAGATAGAGTCCTAGAAGGACTTAGCCATGTGTGATCCTTATTCTTGTAGGACAAGGAGTTAGTGTTTTATTCCAAGTATTCAACCATTGTTTGAGTCGAAAAGGGAATCTAGTTAGGTAAGAATTGTAGATTGGGTAGAATTTGTGTTTCCATAGGTCGTTAAGAAGGACTGACGAGTTGACACACAAAGCCCGACCTCATAGACCTGACCTTGATTTGGTGGTTTTGGGGGACTTCAAGTTCGAAGTTCATGGGTAGAGTTCGGGGATCATGGGTCGAGCTAGATCTGGGGTCATCACAGGCCCCTGTGTATCGAGGTCATAGATTTATGTCCAAGCATGATCTACGAGCGAAGATGTAGAGGCATGAATGTCTAGGTGTCTTTCCACATGTCAGGCGTTCGATGGGATGTCAGAGAACGACCTTAGATGGCTGCCACGTGTAATGTTAGATCACGATCTTAGTTGGCCGCCACGTGTCTTCATTCAAAGGCGAGGATCAATAGACCGTTAACATTCCAAAGACCCCTATAAATAGTCTCCACATTTCACTTTTTACTCTCCAGTAAAAGAAAGCTCGAGCTTGGGGATAGTGAGTCTGTGAGCACCCTTCCAAAAAGGTAAAAGATCGCGCCTTTAAGTTGTTAATTATTTGAAAATCATAATGTTGATTAGCAGTAGTAGCAGCAATGAATCGAGTTCTAGTGATAGTAGGAAACCCTCTAGGAGCTCAAACGACGGTGAGAACCCCGAAACTGTAGGTACTTCCATAATTCCCATGGACATACCTGTGAGTTCGCGTTCTCAGGGTGAGGTAGTATTGGCCTATCCAATGAACCCTAAAAAAATAAAGAACATGTGATCATTAAGATAGCTAGGGAATTCAGGTCATGCCTTTGTTAGATGTTCGAACCCCCGAGCCAACCAAAATCGTAATCGGAGCTCGAGAGGAAGAGATAACATTTTCTAGAAATGCCCTTAAGGCCAGGCATAGATGGCCTCTCCACCCCTTCTTCATCCATTTCTTGACCTCTTTCTATTTGTGCCTACGTTAGTTCGCCCCGAACAGGTAGAGGCTCCTAGTGTACTTCTTTATCCTTTGTAGGTGCTTGGAGATTGAACCTAGGATTGACCTATTGGAGATGGTTTTTGACATGAAATTCTCATCGAGGTATAATTGTTTTGTATATTTGTCTACCAAATGGAAGTTTAGGACACCAGAGTCCCCGAGCTCTCTCCGGGGCTGGAAAGAACGGTTCTTTTTTGTCAAACCTCTGGATCCCAATCATCTTTTTAGCCCAAAGTGGGAAGTTCCAGACAGAGATAGGTTTAATGAGGGTCAAGCTTACTTTGAAGTTCTAGAATAGGATAGGTTGAAATTAGTGAATCATGACCCTCTGGCAGAAAAGATTGATTATCTTCTCAAGGATGACACCCTCGATTTGGCAAACATAAAAAGGCCTCGAGGGTATGGTCTCCATCCCTTGCTCTTTTTCATGTATTGTTTGTGAGATTTAGATCGAGCTTAATTGTCTATTATTTTTGTAGATTTGAAAATGTCTTTTGACCCAACGAAACTGCTAGTAAACGTTCATCATAAGGCCAAGGGCCCTAAGCCTAAGGCCTCGGCCCAATCCAAGGAGAAGAAATGAGCTAGAGAGGTCGTTACTGGGGAACGCTGAGCTTAGAGCCCTAGGTCTTGCCAAAAGGTCAAACCTCGATGTCTAGGGACCCGACCTCCCCTCCCCAACAAATGGCTAAATCGCAAGATCGAGCTCGGGGTTGCCAGGACGTGGCTGATTCGGGCTTTTCGTCGATTTTTGATAGCGCTCTCGAGTAGTACTCTAAGTGCACCTTGTTGAAGGACGTTGTTGACTGGTTTGAGAAGGAGGTCAACATTCATGAAGGTGTCAAGACGTTGGAGGTCTTGACTTTGAGGGTAAGATATCGACCTTATTGATGTTTCTAGTTTCATGTTCCATTGATTGTACTGACGTCGAGTTTTCTTATTGTTTTTGTGCAGACGTTGAGTGTGGCAAGGGGTCTTACCTTGAATGGTCTAAATATCTCGAGTCAGCTAGAAGGGCTCGAGAAGGAAAGAGATCAGGCTAAACGGTGAACTCTCGAGGTTGAGAAGGAGTGCGACGATGTGAGGTCCGACATGCATAAAGCTTGAGACGAGATCAGGGAGGCCAGAGATAAAGCTGAGGAGGCCAAACTCGAGCTCTTGCAGGCTAAAAAGAATTTTGAGGAGGAATTGCCCAAGGCCCGAGAAGAGGCTCATACTTAGGCAATCGAAGATTTTAAATAGTCTGACGAATTCGGGACTCTTGTTGGGTTGTATGGCTTGAGGTCATATCACTACGGGCTATGGCTTGCATGCTCTTTCTTGAGGAAGAAGCTTCCTGACGACCTGAGGTAGTGATGGAAAAGCTCAAGACCGTGAACAAGCTTGCAAACGAGCTCGATCTATCTGCTTCGGAGGTCGAGGATGAGAGTGTAAAATATCATATTTTCCCCTCTTAATTGTTGCATTAATATGATTATTTAATGTCAAAATGCATTTATTACTCTTATGTTTTGATCTAGGTCGCAATTTGATGGAAAATGTTGAAATATGAAAGAAATGAGTAAAAATGGGCAAAGTGGAAGAAAGTAAAAGTTCAGGGATCAAGTTGCAAATAATCCATAGATGAGATGGGGCGATGGAATGATGATTCAAGAATGCTAAGGTCAATTGGGTGCAATTAGAAGCCAAAGGAAGTGAAATATGATCATAACATCTTCACAAATAATTTCCCAATCTAAAAAGTTACGCACAAGGTTTTCAGCCTCATATCGGACCCCTTTTTGACATGGAAGATTATCGAATTGGGAGATGATTTCAGAATCAAAGTTGTAGCCCTTCGTGTTAGCTTTCCAACGCAACTTGAATCACCTCAATTGGACACTAGGAAAGAAAGCTATGACTAAAATACTGGAAACTTGTTTGGCACATGTTTTTAAGCCCTAATCTCAATCTCGACCTAGAACGCCATTCTTCCGCTCCACATCGATTTTCTCTCATCTTGGGTGAAGAAACTCCATGAAAGGCTAGAAATCCTTGGTGAAGCAAGGGAAGAACTCAATTGGTATTGATTATTTCAATGTTTCTCATGCTTGTAATATGATTTCCATTGTTAAATAATTCTAAATTTGGATTTTTTGTTCTTATAAATATGTTTTGAGATTGATTTAATATATATATATATATATTAGATTTTTATGGATTTAATCATGTTCTTTTTATCGAATAATTAAAGTATGTATTGAATTTCAATTTCAAGCATTGTTGTGAGATTGATTTAACTTTTACTATATTTTGCATAGATTTAATCATGTTTTATTTATCGTGAAATTAACATAATTGTTAAATTTCAATTTCAATTATCTATTGGTGTAATTCTCTACGATTTTATGCTTGATGTATAAGGTGGATTTAGAATCTGATTTCAATAGATTGAAGTGGGTATATGTTATAGGAAATCTATATTTTAGAATTACTGTAGAATAAAATTGGGTCTTAATGTTATATTCCCCAATTAAAGTTTGATAAAAAAAATTTCTTTAATTGAGTACATGAATGCAAGATTGACATTGAATGATCCGAACCAATCAAAGGAATTTTCGGCGTTTTACTATTTCATACTTTGATTCAAATCCCGTAAATTCACATATTAATTTTTGAGCACATTTCAAATTGATATATTATCTATGACACAACTCATGATGAAAATCCTAGTTTGTTGGATCCTTTAAACAATTTATTATCTCCTTATGGATACGACACTCCAAAACTATACTACAATCACCGGGGTACACTTTGGGTTTAATCAGGTGAGTAGGTATCAAAGAAGTCAAATCTTTCTTTTTGTCTATACCCTTTGACAACTAACCTAACATTATACTTGTCAATGGATCCATTCGGCTTCAACCTTTTCTTTTTGAATATTCATTTTCATCCCAAAGGCTTATTCAAGAGAGGTAAATCAACCAACTCCCATGTATGATTTTGCATTATAGAATCTATTTCGCTATTGATAGCTTCCTTCCAATGTAGTGCTTCCGGAGTAGACATAGCTTCTTCGAATATCTTTGGGTAATTTTCTACCATGTAGGTTAGAAATTTCGAACCAAAGGATGTGGATGTTCTAGCCCGTTTACTACACCTTGTTCTTCCTCACTTGAAGATCCTTTCGTAGTTTCATAAATGCTCTTAATTGAACTTTCAGTTTCCTTATCTTTGCAAGGAAATACATTTTCAAAAAATGTTGCATTCTTTGATTCAATTATCCTACCTTGGTGTACGTCTTCAATTTTAGA